CAAATTTCTGTATAGAGTCAATCGCTAGTGAGTTAGTGGTTATATCTATAAAAAAGTGAGTAAGTTGCTACGCGCTCACTGAGAGTTCGTTAACACTTATTTGCTGAGTACCAGGCCATGAGTTGTTCCCATATACCATCAGAGTGAACCTCATACACGGTTTTCAGACTGTAAAATGAGTGAATATTGATTCTAGAAGGGAGTGTGTGTGCGCGCGCTTATTTGTTGAGAAATACAACCCAAATTACACCTTCAGTAAGTCGTATCTTCAAAAAAACAACAGGTCGACACTGTCTAGTGTAAGTCAAGTAATTTCGAATTTCATTTCCACAAGGAAAAGAAGACAGTTATTAATCTAAAAAAGTAACTCCATCGGGTTTTCCTCTTCTCTCTCTCTCTTTCTCTTTTAGTCTTGTTCTCTTGTGAAAATGATAAAAATAATCATCAAAAACAGAAAGGAAAAAATACTCTTTTTTTTAACACCACAAATATATGTATCTAACTAGAAGATCGTTCTGCTTTTTGACAAATAGTAGACAAAAAGGACAGTCACTATACCTATCTGTCTGTCTATCTATCCATTCATCCATCCATCCATCCACACGTACGTTTGTAGGCGTGCAAATATTTATAATGTATTTGTGGGTGGATGGGAGGGATTTTGGAGGAGGTAGGGGCGTTGTTTTTGTGTTTATGTGTGTGTGTGTGTTTATGTAACTAAGGCAACTTATATAAACCGCTTCATATATTGTGGATTTTATAAAAAAACAGTGATGCCTATAAAAAAAATAAAACTTTTTGCTTATTTCATTTATGACCACACTTATTACAACACACACACACACAATGATAGATCTACACACCCACATACGTAACCTACACGCACTCATATAGATATGACACTAGTAAAATAAAATGACAAACAAAACAACGGAAATTCAAATATACACTCAATGTTCACGTTTTTTGTAGGAAGAAATGCTATAGTATTGATTTGTGTTAGTTATACTATATATATATATATATATATATATATATAGTTTCTGTGCCTTAGTTGTTACACTGGCTTCCCACAGTATTTCCCACATATTATTTTGATTAAACTGCTGCATTAAAAAAAAATTTGAAAATTGAGCCAATATTCCCGTGGTCTGTTTAAAACAACATTCAATGATCAATACTTTTTATCAACCAAAAATATATACGCATATAACATAATTCGACTAATTGAATCTTTATGTTATGTCTATATATATTTATGCCACTGTTTTTTTTAGTGGGAAATTATTGAATTTTTTTCGATTATTACTGAGAAATTTTGTCTAGTCAGAATCATCGCCACATTATATTTGCTTCAATCTTCTGAGATTAATTTGATTATGATGTAAATTTTAGAATAATAATAATTATTATTATATTATTATTGTTCCCTTGGGTTCCTAGTGGAACATAGGGCTTCAACTACACGTCTCCACTTGCTTCTGTCTTCTGCTGTACTTTTCACCTGCATCCATGTTAGTCCATACTGCTTCAACTCCTCTTCACACGATCTCCTCCATGTCACCCTTGCACCGACGTCCCAATCGCCGCTTCCCTTTCGAGTTCCACTCGAGTGTTTGCCTGACGCGCGATGTCACCCACGAGGCCTCCTCAGCGAGTGTCCAATCCATCTCCACTTTCTCCTGCATATTTGTTGAGCGATTGGTTCTTGTTTTGTTTGTTCCCATAGTTTCTTGTTGGTGATTCTTTCCGGCCATCTGATCTTCAGTATAGAGCCAGCGAAGACAGTTGTTGATAAAGGTCTGCAACAGGCTGTTGGAAATATTCTTTGTGACCCGCCCCAAGTTTCTGATCCATCCGTATAGAAGAACTGACTGACTTGACGTTTGTATTGAAAATCCGAATTTTGTTGTTGATGTGAGTTGAGTGACGAAGATTTCCAGATTGGTTTCAGGTTGATGAATGCGTTTCTCGCCTTCTCGATTCTCGATTTGATATCCTCGTCCGTTCCTCCTGTAGTAATTATGATAATAATAACTATGGGATTCTTGTGATTGAATAGTCAATAGCTGCTTGTAGGAAATCAGATATTTAGTTTCAGTACAGATTTCGTTACGAATCAATATCATTTAGAGGATCAGTGGACACTGACGAGAACTGAATCTTCAGTGGTGTACTCTGTGAGAAATTTGAGTATCAATCCTCTACTCTCTGGTCCCTACAGGACTAGTGTCCTGAAATCCTAATTGAAAGTCGCGATACAGTAGACAGCATGAACCATGCCAGAAGTGAGGCTTTGGTTCGTCCGTAGTGTTAATTCATGAATAAATAGAAGTTAGAATTCTCGGATCATTGGCTAGATGGCCAACGGGCTTGCCTCATAACATGAAGGTGCAGATTTCTAGCCCTAGTAGGTTAATTAGGGTGCACTAATGATAAGAGACTAAAGAGGAAATAAGTGTCCAGTGTTGCTTGTTTTCCAGTGACTCGCTAACTGATATCAGATCACGACAAAAACCAACCTAGAAATTGAGTTTTTAAGAATTTAAATGTCTACTACTGAAGGAACTACAAATTCTTGTTTACAGTTCACTCTAGATCTCCACTCTCAACTCACTCTTCAGAGTTTAACTAGCATTAGGCTAAAAATTTAAAGACTGACAAAACTGTTTATCCTATCTCAATCATCAAACATTCTTTTTTTCAATTTTAATGTTTATATGTGGTACATAACATAAATAAATATATTCTGCCATAAACAATGTCATCACACTAGGTAAACATTCACAATTTATTTCAGCATAGATCGAGTTCTACTGAAGACAGAATGACACTTAATTATGAAAATGATGTTGTTATTAATGAAGACATAGATAAGTTCGTAATGAAGTCACTCACTGATCCATACGTAGGATTCTCAATGAGGCTGGAATTAGGGTAGCATTTAAACAAACCAACCAACCAAAACTCTCTCGGAAATAAACTTGGTCGGCTTAAGCACCTGATATATTCAATTAGAAAAAATCATATAATATACCAAATACCATGTGATGACTGTGAGTTCAATTACACAGGTCAAACTAGTAGATCGGGGTCAGTTAGATTATTCGAACATAAAAATTTAGCTAAAAGTAGAATGATTGATCCTGCTAAGTTAAGTAACCCAGAGAAAATCTCAGTCATTGCACTACATTCACTTGCATGTAATCAGACAATAGAGTGGGACAGGGTGATAGTATTAAAAAGTAATATAGTTAGGTGGAGACATAGGTTACTCACAAACTGATATGATTATGAGCAATAGATTCTGCTCTAAACATCATACAGCATCACTGTGTGATACGTCAAACAAACTTGTCTGACATGCAGTTATATTATACTACATTGCCCAATTTCTACACTTACATTACACCACAAGAAAACCAGTATGCGTCGGTGGCACAGCGGTTAGGACTCTCGCCGACCATGCACATGGTCCGGGGTTCGATCCCCTGCCAACGCACACCCGATATCAATGGTCGGCCTGTAAAATTTGAGCTACCGATATCACATGCTGAAAATTCCATACTTGTATCAAAAATACGGTGTGGAATCAAGCTTTAATAAAAAAAACTTGGTTGATATAGTTAACAAATGAAAAGAGAATAAATTGTGACTTGAACCTCTAATACATTCTTGTATTGTTGACATTGTCGTTGTTTTTGGTAAATCTTTGATACATAGGTTGAAAGTAAGTCGAATGTAAAATACCTTGGACTGTGTATTACCTCTGATCATCTTTCCTGGTCTTCTCACATTGTTAGCTTTTAGAAGGATATTTCGTTTAACGTTCTAAGTAAGGAGGCTAAGATGATCGGGTATGACTCAGTCTCAACTGTTAAGGTTTGTTAATTCTTGTATTCCACCTATTGCTCACCCTTAATCTTTCCCGGGCTGCTCAAGAAAAACTTTATTATACTGCGAAGGGTGCTAAAAGCCGTCAGTAGGCCGAATGAAGTTAATACTGTTGTAGACAGATACATGGACTCCTAAAAGTAATTAGCAAATATTATCCAGTCAGACCCTGAGCATCCTCTCCATACACAACTCTTTCCTTACATCTATCTCATCAGGTATAACTAGAAGCAACTGTAGAAGACTGTATGCTCGGACGACTAAGTACAAAAACTCTACAATACCTTATTTAGCACACATTTTATGTGATGAGAAAAGTGTAAGACAGGAAATTACCAACTTATTGAGGAACTCTAAGTAAACGGCCCTATTTTTATTCATTATTATATTGTTGTTAATATTCTCACATAATATAATTTTATATTCAGGATCTTATTGAGCAATATCATCAATGTTCAATTGATGGTTGCAGGGATTTGATTGGTTCAGACTTCATCATGAATTGACATTGGTTAGAGGACGATTAGAAAACCTGGGAGTACTGGAAATCTGTTTCATCCCAGTTTAGGACTCTTCACCAGCACGCAGGACTTTTTGGTTACAAGGCGAGCTAGCTCGTAGACCATTAAGCCACTGAGACTCGATCCAATGTTGAATGAATTCCAACTTCTGCCAATTCATGCTATGGCGCAACCACTAGCGAATGTTACTGGCGAGTATTTTGTCCACTCACCCAACCTGCTCTACCCTACTGGTCACAACTTCCCACTGGTGACCAGTGGCTTAATGGCCTACGAGCTTGTCTTGTAACCAGAAGGTCCTGTGTGCTACTGAAGAGTCCTGAACTAGGATGAAACAGATGTCCAGTACTCCCAGGTTTTCTTCATGATGAGATCGTGAAATATTACCAAAATAAACGTCATTTTTTAGTTATTACCCTTATAATGAGTAAGTTAGATACAATACTGTGGTACTAAATGCTAAAACTTTCAAATATGTACCAAGAATACTTTGTGGAATAAAGCTATCATTATTATCATTATTTTCATTCTGTCTTCTATCTACCCTTTCTTTTTGAAAACAACAACACCACCAACAAATTTTAGAATCCCCCATGAAGATGAATTGACTAGTCAAAAGAAAAATCTCCAATCATGTCATCTTACCAATTGTACACTAAGTGGAACAACAGATACTTTGAAAAAGTCAACACCTGCTGCATCACAGAATCCTGCCATCAATGCCAATACAACGACTACTACAAGTAATAATTAATAATTATCAATCTCTGGATGAAACAAATGAAAAAGAAGCTCATGTGAATTACTTGGTAACTTTATTTCAAGCATTAAAAAATTCCGGGGTACAACCAGATTCATTTAAAGAAGCCTTTGAGCGTATTGGTTTACCAGTGAATAGTACAAAATTATCAATGAATTCATTAGATTTATGTAAGTTCATTTCTATCAGTGTGACTCTTTATAACTCTTTCATTACAGTGTGAAGTTTGCTCCCTTTTTTATTTGCTTCGTTCATTTGAGCTCTGAGCGGAACATATGACACTCAAGCCTCAAGCTTTGAAGTTTTAGTGAGAGTGATGTTGTTTTCCATAAAGAGTGGAGTTGCTACTCTTAGACCTACCTAACCTTCCCTCTTATCTGGATTTAATACTGGATAATAAACTAGTTGTGGTTTAGATACATGTCAACAGGGATTCGAACCCGGACCTCTCAGTGTGGCTGACAACCATTCTACTATTGAATCATTTTCAAGTATTGGTTTTTGGATGGATTTTGTTCAGCTGGTTGGTTGAAGGATTTCATCATGAGCTGACATCATTTAGAGAATCATTAGAAAACCTGTGGGGGAGTACTGGACAGGTGTTTCGTCCTAGTGTGGGACTCTTCAGCAACACGCAGGACCTTCTGGTTACAAGGTGAGCTAGCTCGTAGACCATTAAGCCACTTGGCCAGTCCATGAATTATAACTTCTGCCAATTCATGACATAGAGCGACCACTTCGCAATGTCTTCTTCGATGAGTTACTGCCTCACCTTCAACCTGCTGTACCCTACTGGTCATGGCTTCCCATTTTCTGTCATAACGCTATAATATAATTTAATTGAAGTTTATGAGTACTGACTATTGATGTGACTAGTAGATGAAGAAGAAACTAGTCTGTTTGAAATTCAAATGAACCATTTCTCCACTAAAAAGTGTTCTTTTACTTTGGTGAATGTTTATCCTTTAACAATGTCTATATGCTAGATCTTTATGTTCTGTTTGATTACATAATTTACATTGAAATGGTGGTTTATAGGGATTTAATTGGTTTCTAGGTAGATCCCCTTGCAGACCGATATCGGTTAGAGAAATCAAGGAGAGCTTGGTAACTACTTTATTCTAATTTGAAACTCTTCAGTCTTTGGTGAGTAGAGTGACGGATGTGTTGTATCAGTATACAAGGTTAAATGTACGTACACTTGATGGCTTCTGAGTAAAATAAAATGTAATGTGAGCTGAAAAATAAACATTTCCATCGATTATGGGCTACACAGTTTATCTGCGTTACAATGTTGAATTCTGTTTCCTTATTAATTCATCCTTAAGATCAAAAAAATAGTGAATCGGGATTGAAAAATTTTTAGAATCATTTCTCTTATTATCCTTCACAAACACACAGTTCATCTACACCAACATCTTGTTAATTACGCATGCAAATTAAAGTATATTAATATATTCTAAAGGCTACCAACGAAAGGCGACTTAAGCCTCTGCGAGAACCGGTGTGGAATAATGCTGTTGTCCAAACCAAGTAAAATACTAAGTTGCATCATCGAGAGAGAATGCTTTGGATACAGAACTCTGCCAACCGGAAAAATCTGGATTCAGGAAAGGCAAATCATGTGCAGGTCATATTTCAACTCGGCGTATAGTCATCAAACAAAACATAGAGTGACAGTCAAACTTCTACCTCAACTTCATCATTGAAAAGCTTCCAGACAGCTTGACCGAGAAGTAATTTGGAAACTACTTCTACACTGTAAGAGTGTCATGTGATCGAAAACGGAAAATTCAGCGAGGCGTTTGAAGTGAATACAGGAGGAAGACAAGACTGTCACCTACAATCACCGATGATATTGATAATTTTGTTGGACTGGATTATTCGTCAGACTGTGCGTTGGGAATGAGAAGACAGGAATAGGCTGAACCACTGATAAGAAGACTCTGGAAGACCCGGATTTCATGCGTGCACGATTTATGTTTAATGTCACACAACTCGAAGACCTACAAGTGAAAACCAACAGACTGGCAGAATAGATGGGCAGCGAAGACATGAGTCCATGTGAACATAGAAAAGATGGAGGTGATGAATATAACCTGCCAACAGCAACAACAACCAGTACCAATCACCATCAACGGGAGAGATTTGACAGAGGTTACTTCCTTCCTTTACTTATATAGGAAGCATCGTTTCAGCCACAGGCACTCGAAACGGATGAAGGTGTCACAGTCAGCCAGGTAGAATCGGAAAGGCAAGATATGCCTTCATCAACCTGAAACCCATTTGAAAATCTGCTATCACTCAACAACGTGAACAACAAGACTCGGGTTCTATTCAACACAAATATGGAGTCAGTTAATCAGTTCTTCTAAATGGGTCAGAAACGTGTCTAGCGTGTCACGAAGAGGGTTTCCAACAATTTGCGAACTTTTATCAACAAGCCCATTTCGCTGGCCCCATACTGAAGATCAAATGGCCAGCTGGTTAATCAGAAAGAATTAGTAACAAGAAACTCTGCAGTGTAACAAACTAACCAAGAGCCGATTACTCAACAAATATGTGGGAGAAAATGGAGATGGATTGGGTAAACATTGAGGCGGCCATCGAGTGACAAAGCTGGGGTGGAATCCGAGTGAAAAGTGGTGACGAGTGTGTCTTCAGTGCGAGGTTGGCATTGAGGAGATCGTGTGAGGAGGGAGGAGATGAGCGATTTCGGGCAGACGTGAAGCTAGCCAATTGAGGGAGACAGCAGAGAATAGAACAGCGTAGAGATGTGTTGCTTAAGCCCTATCTTCCACTCAGAACCCAAGGAAATAATAATCATAATATAATAATAATAATGGCTTTATTCCAAACAGTATTTGTGGTACAGGTATGGAATTTTCAGCGTTCATTACAATATTGCATCTAATTACCTCATAAATTTTATAAGGATTTAAAAATATAAAGCAACAACAACAAAAAGAAAAAAGGGAAATAAAAGAAATAAAAAAGAACAGCATTGCATTCACATATTTAATGCACCACAGGATATGATATATGAAAATTAGTCTGTAATAGAATATATGAGCAACAATATAATAGTAACAAAGAAAGGAGAACAAAAGCTAACGGGAACTATTTGTTAGAGTGCCGCAGTAAGTTGATCGTGTCATGCCTAACATTTTTCTTATCACATAACAGCTGTGCCAGATAAGGTATTGTGGAGTTTTTATACTTGGTAGTCCCAGCACATAGCCTCCTATAGCTGCTTCTAGTTCTACCAGATGAAATGCAAGGAGAGAGCTGCGTATGGAGAGGGTGTTCAGTGTCTGACAATATAGAATTCGCTAGTTTCTTACATGACATTATATGTCTATCCACAATTGTGTTAACCAGTTGGTTTAACGAAATCCCACTTCCCCTACTAACAGCTTTTAGTGCCCTATGCAGCGAAGCAAAGTCTTTCTTAAGTAGTCCAGGAAAGATTAATGGGGAGCAGTAAAGAGGGATGGGTAGAATACAGGAATTGACAAACTGAGAAAGCAAAGACTGCTTTATACCAGACTGCCTAAACTTCCTAACGTAGAACGTTAAGCGAAACATCTTTCTAGTCACTAGCAAGATGTGAGAGGACCAGGAAAGATCGGAGGAAATACTCAGTCCAAGGTACTTGACATTAGATGTAGTTTCAACCTCTATGCCGTCAATGATAGTGGGACCATGTGAGCTAGCTAGTTGTTGTAGGTCACTTTTTCGTCTGAAAGTAAAACTTACTACCTGACATTTAGACGGATTCAGCTTAAGACCGTTTGAAGAGGACCACTGACTAATTTCCGAGAGAAAGTTATTAATATGGAACAGTCTGACTGAGAGTTGACAGGCATGGAGACAGAGAGGTCATCTGCAGACTTGACAAAATTTGCTACATCAGAATGGGGCAAGTCATGTAAGAAAAAAGAAAACAGAAAAGGAGAAAGAACAGCACCTTGAGGAACACCAGCTAAAGTAAGTGAGGTAGTGGAGGACTTTCCATTGTAGACAGTGTACTGCTTCCTATCAGAAAAGTAGGAATACAACCACTTATTTATCCAGCTCTCACTCTGTGTTGCAGCAAGCCTACTTAACAAGAGAGACCTAGGTACAGAGTCAAATGCAGATGTGTAATCAAGGAAGGCACACCGAACATATTTGGCTCCTCTATCTAAACTAGAGACTATGTTATGATATAGAACTACAGCGGCATCTAAGGTACACCTACTATGTTTATAGGCAAACTGGTTGGGGTCATTAAAAGGCTTTAAAGAGGGTTCAAGATTAAGTAATTTTAACTCTTGAAGACCACGAAATACTGAACAGCCCTTTCGTCCTGCTTTGAGACACTTTGACAGTACGTTTGCATCTCCCTACCGAGACACGAAGCTAGAAGCTTCACTCAGCTTGTTGACCACTTAGTCACTCGGATGGAATCAAATAATCCATAAATTCTAAATTCCACTGATTTGTTGTCACCACCAATCAACGTCATCGGTGAGTATATATCCTCACACCTAACCTGACAAATCTCACTGATCAAGAAACCAATCAAATCCCAGCAAATCAACATGTGAAAATTCCAATCCTACTAGGTCCATCAGAAGAATATTCTGCCAATTTGACATGAAGAACATATGAAAACATACATAATGCATTGTATTTTTAAAAGATGATGGGCAACAGGTGAAAAAAAAGATGAATGTCACTGGCATAATTGTTTTTTTGGGGGGAAGGGGTGGGGGAACTGGATAGTTTAATTACGAAGCTTTTATTGCCTTTCTAGACAATAAGTTCAATACTGCCTTCAGTATGAAGTGAGCGTTATCCGGAATTCTTCATGACTGTAATAAGCATTCCTTCTAATACCTTTGAATATCCATAATTGGTTGTCATCGGAGATTGATTAGTTCGTTGACCTAATATTTGACTTTTTGCCTACACGGTATCGTTTTGATTTTCCAACCTACCTGGGAAGCATCGTTTCAACTACAGGCGGAACTGACGAGGATATCAAAGCAAGAATCGGAAAAGCAAGATAAGCTCTCACTACTCTCAAGTCTGTGTGGAGGTCAACAGCACTCAGCATCAAAAATAAAATCCAGATCTTCAACTCCAATGTGCAGTCTGTGCTACTCACTATACGGATCAGAGA